GATGCACTTGTGCCATTGCAAACGATTTTGAGCCATGTCATTCAGGGTCTCTGACCATCGGTTACTATCATCTCGCGATCCCCAACCAGGTAGTCTACACCTACCAACGTGACTCAGTCCACTTGTCAGTGACTTCATGGATTTGTGTCATGTTCTGGTCTGTCCGCCCCTAGCTTCCTTCCAGTCTACCCCTATACCATTGAGCATCGCACGTCGAGGTAGTCGGTAGTTAGGCATACGTAACACGTGTCCCAGCTGCGAACTGATAGTGTAGTTGACAAGTGTACTAATTGTGTTAAGAAGAATAAATCAATGGTTCATAATTGGAAATAAGTTCAAAACCTTGAAAAAATTGACATCGAAAGAACATTCATCGTAGATTATTAATGTTACATATTAAGAAATGTTCAAATAATTAGATGAGGAAATAGCGGTCACAGAAGAGATATAAATGTCACAGATATCTCATGAATATAAAGACTTGTTAGCTAGAGTACCCTTGTAGCTTCTGCATATGTAATATACAATATCGAACCCGTTAAAGAAAGGTGATAAGTAAACCATAATTCATTCGAAATTATTTGTTTCCGTCCATTGCATGACCGCTATCCGTTTAGTGTGATAGAACATAGCTATGTAGTGTTTTGGTCAAAACCTTCACCAAACAAGAACGGAGGTGTTCATTAACGCGTTGGTTCAGTTGTTTAATTGCACGCTCAACATTTCCTTTTTCATAGGAGCAGCTGATTACATGTATACAGATGAGTGTGCTAAAGTGGTTAACCTATCGTCTGATTGAGGAACCACCATAGGTCAGTTAGAATACGATAAACATATGTTAGTTTCATTACACATCCCGTTCATTGCCTTAGTCAGTCTATCTCGTTGTACATCACAAAATGTATCTTCATTGAGTTGTATCTCCAGATAGAGAGGCTTCTTACCAACTGTTATCACTACACTTCCCTGTTTGCTATATGCATGTAATTCTCTAAAAAAGCCTTTTGCATTACACACACAATAAAATCTCTTATCTACTAGTTTATATACTAAAACTTTGAATATTTGACTATTTAATCAACGCAATGGAAGTTATTAACCAAATACACATTTATATGCTTGATTTTTCAGTTACAATTTTCCTTCGTATAAAACCTTAGCAACACAATCCGATCACTCAAATCAAATTAGGTGTAGTGGAGCTTAGAATCTTCCAATGTCTTGATTAAAATGAATCACACATATTTTGTTTTGGAATCTGACTTGCATATTCTTCAACGAACTTTTGACTAAATCGATGATGAATACTATGTGGATTGTAAAACACTAAATAATAACTTTTGAATCTCTTTCGTATTTATATGTATCCGGGGTGACACTGATAGAGAAATGGTGATGATCACCTTGACTAGTCATGGATAATTCATTTACTTTGCAAAAAAATGTCCACATTTGTATGCCTTACTTCATCATACGTATTCTTGTAAGAATGTATATGTAGCTTGTCCGAACTTTTCCTATGTAAACACACTTTTCCTTATGTTAAGATTTCTTTTCATCGTTTTAATTTAGGTAGCATTATTACGTGATATATTGAAAACATGGCGTGATGAATTACAAAAGAAACCAGTGAATATGTCTTATGAAGAAGCATTAAGTGAACTTGGATTAGATCCAACTCTGTTAAATTCGTAAGTAAATTAAATCACTCTTGTTTTTTTATAAAATATTTTCTTGATTCACATTCACTTCCACACGGTTAAGAATGTTAGGATTCTGTTAATAATTGATTTGAGATGAGATCCTGAATGTTTAATTTAAAGTATGTTTTTGAACTGATATCAACTGAAGTCGAAGGTTACAAGATGGTGGAATATTATTCCACTTCTTAGCTCTTGATAACTTGTTTCCTGTATGCTGCAAGCATCTATCGATCGAACTAAAGGGGGAGGATACTTTGTAATAGCTTGTTCTGTCCTACTTTAACTGTGAAGTGTGTCCTCAAAAAATAAATATTTTTAGATTACTAATATTTGATCATAGATGCCTTCGAATCACTAAACAATTATTTTCTAAACGATTGAGTGAAGTTAAATATAAGTTGCTACATGAAAATGGTAAGTTGGTCAATGGGGTTTTAGATGTTTATTAACTGAAGTGGTCCGAACATGCATTACATATGTCTATCCATCGTCTGCCGTGATGCGCAACTATACATAGTGTAGTAGTGAGTTGGAAGAAAGCTAGCAACTCCCAATCCAAGACACTGGATCAATCCATTTTAGACTGAGCTGTGTGGAAATGTACAACCTATTCAATCACAGTCATGTTAATAACTCCAATCAGTGGTTGTGTAAGTTCGGTAACATAACTCACAATCGGTTTCTATGGTACAGTTCAATTCGCTGTTCTGATGTGGTTTGATGGCTTGAATCGTTCAATACCGTTTCCAGGTTCTGCATTCCTGATGATTAACTGACTGGATGACTTAATCCATACCCATAACATCACGTGTGATTGTACCATATAACATTTATGTTTCACAATGTGTATAATACCATGTATAGCGTATGACTTGGTAACTATTTGCTTGCTGGTGAACTTGACTTGTTCCATTTGATCTTCTAATTAAATTCATTCAACCGTAGTGCGAAAAAAGTCAGGATTATATTAGTTGCAAAACTATTAGATTGCTTAATTGTTTCAGTATTACAAGTTAACTAACTGCAGTTTAAACTATAACTGACTCGATTCAAAATACATTCAATCCTATATGTTCTCTTCTATGCACATACTGTTGAAGAGTCTCAACATATTGGTCATTGTTGAAATGTCCCTTCAAAAAACTTAAGCAGTATTTGGGCAGTTTCTACTTATATCATCCTTTTTTCCTTGAATTAATTGGTTTCAATTTTGATCAGTTCATTTCGTTCCCTTCCGTACACACACTCATACACAAATAATGTAGGTCAAATGAAGAGTCATTTATTCGCCGAGCTTATTATCAAATGTCAATGAAATATCATCCGGATAAGAATCCAAATGGTCGAGTAAGTCGTTCTAATGATGTTTTATCCTTAAAACGAACATAAATTTTATCCGGGGGGGGAAATGGTGATTATTAATATTTAATGCGAATATCAATAATCTACCGAAAATATAAGGGTTGCTTGGTAGTTAAAACATTTAGCTTTCAACTAATAACTTATAGTTTCAATTTGGTTATTTATTCTCTGAAGAAGTGACTTACACTAAGCCACGAAACGTCAGAAAATCCAATTTTCTACTCATTGGGATATTACAAATATATTATTTTTATTTATAGTTTCAATGTTTACTTTTATTAAGTTTGTTTTTGTCAACCTGACAATACAGTCAGTCAGTTACAATATAGAACCTGGTACGTTATGTACATCAGCTCGTTTTACCATGCTATGCCCAAACAATACAGCGAGATGAAATTGTCAGACCAAATCCAAGAATAGTAGAGGCTGTAACATAATAAGTAGTGATTAAAAGGATTATGCATCAAAGAAGCGGTTCGGAAAAAAAATCTAAATTACTGAGATGAAAACATAAAGAAGTCATGGAGAATTCAGAAGCTCAAGATTTAGGGGAAGACAAAGAATGAATGCACTTGCACCATTGTAAACGATGTTGAGTGATGTCATTGGAATTCTCTAACCATCGGTTAAGATAATCACATGTACCCCGACCAGGTAGTCTACATCTATCTAAATGGCTTAGTTCAATTGTCAATGACTTCACGGATTGATGCCAAGTATTAGTTGCGTTGCTCCTAACTTTCTTCTAACCTACTCTCCCACACCAGACAACAGCACCCATCCAAGTATGTGGTGGTTGGTGTCTTACTAGAGTATGTAAATCAGTATTCAGTTCCTGGTTTACAGTTCATCAATTTAAGTTGAAACAAAGCTGGCTGTCCATGGAAAAACAAAAGTCAGCTTCAGTTAGATTTACAAGATATGGGGAACATTGATTTGGTGTTGCTTGCTTGTATTTCCCATTGTGGTTTAGGACTGCAATTGATCAGTCTCTTGTTGGCATCTTGTGCGGATTGCCTCGATGTTGCCTTAAATCACAAGCTTTATAAGCAGAGATGGATAGGAGCTAGTAGTGGAATCCAGGGCCCAGGTTTCGTGCTACTTCGCACTCATCATCAAAGTGTACCTGTAATCTTGAGGGAACCGATGCTCCCTAACGGATTCGATCCCGCGTCGCCCAGCTTCACAGTTACAGACGTTACCACTGAGCTATCCGTGTCGCGACTGACTTCCTGTAGGACAGATGTATTTAAAATTGATTGATCACCACCCATATGTCAAACAGCACGAAACCTAGGTCCAGGGTTTCCTGTTGACTACCTACAGCCACCATCTTATTTCAACATAGTGCACATAATGTCGAGTCACCAAGACTGGTGGCTACATTTCTACTTGGTTGATAGAATTCGATCTGCACTAGAAAGAGCCTGACACACATGACATTGATTACCACCCAGTGATCAATCAAGTCTAAACACATTAAAGTCTATAGTCTATGGAATTTAAATTATTTTATGTGAATATTGTCGTTGATCATCTGCGTTTATCCATTTCTCAGGAGAAATTTCAATCGTTAACCAAAGCTTATCAATTTCTATGTAATCGTAGTAAATTATCGCGTGGTCCAAATCGTCTACATATTCAATTAATGCTTAGAGCTCAAAGTATCGTGTATAAACGTTATCGTTCTTGTAAGCTTCTCTTTTTTTAATCGTTGAAATTTTTATTCATTGAATCTCCTTCCCGTATGAATTTGAATGTAAACTATGGATAAGTTTATGTTGATCTATTTTAAAATTCATTGCAGTACTCGTTGAAGTAAAAATAAGTTGAAAGAAAGCTAAGGAGTGACCAAATCAAAATGTAAGGTAGTCTATGTTAGTAGATGTAATTTACTTGGTTGAGGTCCCCGGTGGTTGGGGATTTTAGGTGACAGTCTTGAAAACCAGTTACACTATAATGAACGAGAACCATACATTTTTTACTTCATTTGCAAATCTTCTATCGATCGTCTCATTACTCACCGTTCCTTCATTGTTTTTACTCCTCATTTACATTCTCATTCTCTTCAATTCAATCTTCACAACCTTCTGCTGCCAGACTTTCGACTTCTGGCTGGTGTTACATACTACGTCTGAGTAGCATAAACCATAGTGCTAATTTCAGTTTCAAGATTATTCTATTCGTTTTGTTTACACTTTTTGTGTACTATGATTGATTCCCCTATGATTCAGATCCGTTCAATAGTTTCATCTTGGTGTTTTAATGTATTGTATCAACCTGGGCAAATGTACATAAATTTTGTGCTAACTTGATCTGATTCATAATATGACTAACTGAAATATATCAAACTTCTTCCTTTGATTACAAATTCGCAAAATAATCTATCAACTTTTTATATGAAACGTTGTCTACGTGATACAAAAAAGGTCACGGACTGGAACCGGATTAGTTTCATATGCTTTAGTTTAGTTAGCCGACCTTAACATATGGGAGTTTTAGCCCGACATCAAGTACAGAGACCTATAAACTATGATATAAGCTTTTAGTGGCCCTGTATCTGACTCCAGTTAGATCGTATGATGATTGTTACTGAAGTATACATAC